TCTACATTAGCGAAGAACCATGGCTATGTCAATGAATGGACTACGGTTAGCCCTAAACGTAAGTCTTTGAAAAAAAAACCTACTAGCCCGGCCTCCCCAAATTTACAATACCTAATAGATAATCAACCTCAACTAGATATAAGATAATAAGCACGGAATGGCGTTATTGTAACCCGTGCCCCCGTAAGTTAAGAAAATTATAATTATTTAATTTTAAGGATTGACAGGGACTGTCCAATCTTATGTGGGGAGGGATGTAGTGTAGCATAATAACTGTCTATATTTTATTAACTATTTCATAATAATTTGGAATACATGTAGTATTATATTGGTAGTAATATTAATAGGCGATTGCAAGTGTCATCGTGGTTATGTCGAAACCTTTGGTGTCGGGTGTCCTGGGCCCGTCGGTTGACACGAGCAAATCGCCTAGCTAGTTAATTAGTCAGTCCAGAATTCAGAGTAGACCATAGCAGAACCTCAGATAATAACAGAACCTCTCTAAGTTAAGTTTATTTTAAAAATGTTAATAGTATAAGTTTAAAAGTATTGGTTATTCTTTTTTTTCAAAACACCTTCTTTTATACTAATCTCCACCTTTTATCTTCTTCTTTTACCACTGAATGTTCCGCTATTTTCCATGCTCTTCTCTTTATTTACTCTTCCAATTATGATAATTTACTGATATGCTCAAATTCCCAAGCTTGTCTTCTTGCTCTCTCTTCAAATACCTTCAGCTCTACATTGTCTCCCCTTATTCTTAATATAAGATCTCTTCTGTTCCGCATCTCGTCCTCTAGCAAAACCGTTCAAATCTTTTGGGTTCCAGGCCACTATGGGATATTGGTAACGAGACTGCCGTTTCCCTAGCCACTTCCACCGCTTCTTTCATACTGCCTCAAGGCCTAACCACTCCTTTTTCTGACTTCTTTCCAGGTTTAAATAAAACTATATTACAAACTTGGCAGGACAAATGGTCCTCCCTACCTCCTAACTTTTCCACTTGGCACCGCTCAATCTGCCCTATCATCCCTCGCAGGCTTTGGTTTCATGGCCTCAATCTCTCACGTAAAGAAATTTCTTCCTTTTCCCGTTTAAGATTTGGACACAACCTTTTTCCCGCTTTCTATTTTCTCATCTCTTTGAACTCCTCTCCTCATTGTACCTTGCATGATCTAACAGCAATTTGTGATTTTTCTCATCTCCTTTTTCATTGTCCCACTCTCTCTCCCCATAAAGATATCCTTTTTAAACTCCTATCCTCTTTGTGTATTAATGACCCTAACTCCTATAATATTTTTAACTCCGGCTCTATTCCTATCATCCAATTCATCCTTGATGCTGGGTTTCGTACTTAAGTTAATAATTGTATGTTATATTTCTATGTAATTATGTATATAGTTTATTTTTTCTGTTTTAATTTTAGTCTGTACTAATAATCGTTGAGCTATAATATTTTAAATAAAAGCTATATAAAAAAAACTTTATTTGGTTAAACGTCACGAAAAATACACTTTTTATCAAATCAACAAGACATTATGAAAACAAAATAAAGTGGGCATGACCTCAGCTGCACGGAAGTTCATAGGAACATGGATATGTCTTAATGTACAAGTATAAGGATCCTGGTATTTTCTATTATCCAATGTTTTATCACTAATATCTTACCTCACCTCCAGCATCCAGCTGGACCATCTCTTATCTGTAATCTCTAACCTCCCCCCTCCTCACCTCCAGCATCCATCTAGACTATATCTTAACGCATCGTTGTAAAAACAGAACCTCCTCAGCTTTGCATCGAACCTAAAAATGATTTAATTCATTAATCATCGTTATAGAGTACACTATGCGGTTACTGGCAAACAAAACATTGTTTAATTATTCTAAAAAAAAAAATATTCGGTTCAGCCGGCGCTCCATGTAGGCAATATTGATACACCGATGTTTTGTGCCCACTATTGGTAAGACAAATATAACAAATCAATAACAATTTTTTCTTTGGTATTAAAATGTCAATAAAAAATGAATTTTTTTGACAAAAAAACAACCTATTGACGTCAAAGTAAAAGTAATGATTATTATTTATTATTTTTACGTTTCTTTTTAACTTAGAACTATGTCCATTTCGATTCTATTCGATTTACCTTTTGATTTCGTACATCGGCGCATGATATTCAAAATTAAACAAAAATTTAAAAAATATGATATTTATGAAAGTATTGTTATTGTAGAATTCTTGCCTAGGCGTTAACGCGAAAACACAATTTATTTTACTTAAGAAAAACACTTGTACGGTTTGATACGCGTAACCATTTCCACTATTTGCATAAATGAAAATATAGTAATCGGTTACTTAAAAATATTCTACGTGTTCATGTTAAGATATTTTTTTTTTCAAACTTGAGCACTTAGTACAATAGAATTTGATTATACTGTATATAACATCAACCGAAAAAAAACGTAGCCTTTAAACGTTAGCCTTTTAAACAAAAATTTATTTCTACAATAACAATTCTTACAACAATAATTCTCTGTATAGTTGACAAATATTTCGTGATATTGATGGCTAGTTCTTTAAAAGACAAGACACATAATGTATACTATTATAATAAAAATCTTGTTGGATGAATAGCAATATTTAATCCTAGCTAGTTTTTTTACCAATATGATCAGAGTAGTGGTTGCAAATTAGAAATTATTAAATCACAGCTGTTCGATGTCATATTGATAATTCGAAAAAACAAAACATGTATTATGTTGGTAACTCGTTTTTTGGTCTCAATTTAACGACTTCGAAGAACAAAGGTACAGCTGAATATTTTTTTAGAGACAAAAATAAAAACGAAATTAAAAAGTGGCATACATACCATATTTGAGTAATATCGTCACGTATGTGTGTTTTACATTATACAACTAAACTGATGTATTTTATAATCTGAGGAAAAAATGTAAATTATAATAACTGTTTATTTGGGTTAACATATTATTGAACCGTATAATTTGTTAATGTCTTTGTCTCGCCCGTAATGGAATCGGTGGAAAAAAACAGAAATATATAATATACAAATAAACACATTCCATCACATTCATCACAGTAATAATCAAACTCTGGTTCTGTTAAGTCTAGATTAATTTTAAAGAAAACCAAATCGAATTAATTTCTTCTATACAAACAACATTTAGTTGTGACATAACAAGGTTTTTGAATAGGAAAATGTATTTTATCGAAGTATAAACCTTATTGATCATTGGTCAACTTAACAATATACACTATAAGCGGTATATTTATTTTTTTAAATATTTATTCCTACATCCAAAAATTCCAAAAAAATATTCTTAAGTACAACATCACTGGTGATTAAGTCTACATTTTACTATTTTAGGACAAAAAAAATTATAATGTTCGATACTTTAGACGTAAATAAATTAAAACCTATTGGACAACCTATCTCTACAATCTCGACCTTTAAATTAACAAGTTTTGTTTAAACGTCTGTTTTGTTGATATCTGTACTACTTTCGTTTTTATGTCTTATATTCACTTATTACTGCTTTCTTTTTTTCTATTTTATATAAACTTATTTAACTATAGTATGAAAAAAACAATGTAAATTAATTCAACAAGAAACAAGACCAGAGAAGGTTTTTTGTGCTATTATTTGTTTAGCTATAAATTATCATGACTTGTATTATGATATCGTTATAATTTATAATGTCTATTTTAAACTATAACCATAATAATATTTGTGATTTAAAATTGTTAGAGCAAACTAGTAGTGGCTTATGATTAAAATACTTTTCAATGAGTACAATTAAATAGTATATTTTCTTCAAAGACTTATAACATAATTAGGCTTATAAAAATAATCGCTTGTAAAAATTAAGAAACTTCCCCCTTCCTCGCAATTAGTTTTAATTAGCGTTTGACCAAATTGTAAGATGGAAATCAGAATCCACGATTTTATACAGGGCAATACGTTAAATTATATTTTGTATAGAATACCTGTTTGTTTTTATGAAATAACCGAGTAAGCTAAAAAGTAAAAAAAAACATACCTACTGTTGTCTATTAGAAGTAGAAAAATAATAGTCGTTGTACAAACACATAGCCTTTATGCGTTAGAAAAAAGGTGCAAAAAAAATAACATAATATTAAAATAGATACCGCTTTGCTGTGTTATAGTATATGTTTTTACACATTTTAGCTGAACGCTAGGTTTTTATTGACAAAAAGCGTACCACCTATACAAATCGCTTTGAAAAACACTTGAGTAGAGGCCCCTTAAGGTGAGATTAGATTAAGTTGCTTAATAGCAAGGGGTTGGATTACAATAATCGTATAACGTCTACAAAATAATGATCGACGGTCGGTCAATCTTAATCTTTTCCACCATAATACAGAAAAATACATATTTTTAAGCTCACTATCGCGTTGAAAATGATTTTTATCGATCATTTTTATTTCAACATTCATATTATACAAAGTCGAATGTTAGCATTTTTTTTTTGATATTATCACTATTAGTATAATTACAATTTTTTTTGAGATTACTGCCAATTTTTTTTTTATTGTTATTTCATTTTTCTGTGCCCAAACCTTTTCAGATAATATCCCGACAACAACATATCATGCAACCGTTAAAAATTATTAACTCGGCTGTTTGTTTAGAAAGAACATACCGACTGACATATAGGCGTTACTTTACATTACAAAACGGCTCACAGCACCGACCCGTCTTATTTATCATTTCAGTGTGGTATACAAAACAGACAATACGACAAGCTAACAGGTAATATTAGAAGCTAAACTGTTGAAAATATTTTTTTAAATACACTACAGTTAGAAACATTATCTCAAATCAGGGTTTTGCAATAAGATAAATCGAAATCCGCAAGTATACTCAGTACACAGTTTGTATGACCCGATTCAATTACCTAACCTACGTTTTACTATTGAAATCGACATTCATCTGTTTACTTTTTAGATATCCATTGAAAATGACTAACAATTATAAGCTACAAGTTCTATGTTTGTTTGTGTTAACTATTTGCGTCGTTATAAACGATGTAAAATGTAACCTAACGCGAAAAGGTATGCTTATTTTAATGTTTTTTTTATTTAATTTAACTGTCAGATATAATATTAAGTTTTTCAATAGTTATAATATTAATATTTCTCGTGATAACTTTATATTTTACAAAATTAAGATATTATTAAAATTGTTTCAGAATGCCGCAAACAGATTTATATTACCAGTGAGTTATTTTTTTTTTTTTTAGTTATTTTAGCAGTCTGTAACGTTACGATATTTTGCCTGTCTTTAATTGTCTAAAAGTTATTTACTACATGCAATCCCTTTAAATCCAAAAAAAAACTAAATGTACATTTGTTATGATCGCTTTGATCTCACTGTATAATGTTTTTGCTAATTATGTAAAATTTGTTTTCTTTTTAGACCATTTGATTTCGATATTGTTTGGCGGTGAGTATTTCTATAGTTAACAATATAGTAAATTAAAATTAAACGGAAAAGAAATTTTACGAAAAATACATGACATTTAGGCATTGATAATAAATTTTAAAAAATTGGCATAGTGTAAACTCTTAAAGACGCCATACTCTTTATGTGTCGAGGCAGAAACTTATTTAATTATGTTTAGGGTTTCCAGCTGTTATTTTAATACATTTTCTGCATTAATATTAATTAGTTGAAAATATTTTATATCTAATCCGTAATGTGACATAAAATATAGTATGAGTTCATTTTCATACGTTGAATGACTATCATTATATTTTTAAGATGGATTTTCAAAAAATACCATGTGGCCATCTGTGGTGTATAATAATATTTTCTGATTTTATACTAAATTATTAAATTTACATAACAATGGAAATTCTTTTACAAATAGAACATGGCGGTTACTAAATACTAGGTCATAAATAATTTTGATAGATGTATTTATCACAACTATCAATTACTTTGCAATCATCTAACCTAATAGGAGATAACTGTATGCGTGAAAATGATATCTAAAAACACGTTGTTTTATTAATTAATTAAATATATAGTTTTGACCGTTACTTTAATACTATAGTTTCAAAATAATAGTATAGTTTAACTGAATATATTTAGTTAAAAACTAATATACCAATACTACTTGAAAGTGATAAATAAACACACTGGTATTATACATTTTTTTATACTACAGACATCTTTGATCATGTGGCTTATTATTAGCTGTTGTTTTTAAGTAATATATTATGTAATAACCCAGTGCAGTACAATTACTTAAATAGAACTTACTTTTATACTTGATTTTAGCACGATACAATTACCTTATTGGAAATTATACTGACTATGTTGTGTTTATTTAATGTTGAAAAGTTATTACTAAACATTATTTAACGAAATCAATCATAATTTTGTTTTGTTCACTTTGATTTCAGATCAAAATGCCAAACTGGTTAAACAACTTGTATTGAAACATGGTTACGGTATTGTTATGTGTATATTATTATTTTTGTTTTAAGTACAGTTGTGTTTACAATATAATATTATGTAGGGTATAGATTTTCCATTGGTTACCGATAATTTTTATTAGTGCATTTAACGGATCAATAAAATATGTCCAAGGAAACGTTAAATTTGTATTGATTTATTAAACGTTCACAAAATCCGCAGCATCATAGATTTCTTTTAACAAGCAAATTATTTATATTTTATTTCAGATGGAGCTGCTGCATTATTTTATCCGCCAGGTAAACTATAATACGTTTTATACCTTCAGGCGATTTTGTTTTCACTAAGTTGGGGTTGTTTTTCAGTTAGGTAATAATCGCATTTAATTCGGCAAGTCAGCGGAGGTGGGGAGGAGGAGATTAGTGATAAATAATTAGAGTTAAGAGATAAGAGAGAAAATATAGAGATAAGAAATAAAAGATTAGATATTACAACATCATATACTTGTATATTACAACATATCCAAGTTCTTATGTACTCCCGTGCAGCGGAGGTCATGCTTACTTTTTTTATTTTATTTAAAAACAAAATTGCTACAATAAAATATTTATTTTTATTTTAACATTTCGATAAAAATGGCTTTTATTGAACGCTCAAATAATAGGACATGTGATACTGCTTTTAATATAATATATTTTTTAGATGATAAGTTGTTGAAAGGCCAAAAAGCAAACGGTAATTTTGAAATAATTAACAATAACAACTATATTAAGGAAATTGATTTGTGGTATATATTTTTCGATAATAATACTTTCAACGATTTAAAGTTAATTCAATTATCATTACTTAACTAAAAAAAAAAAAAGTTTTTAAATAACTAATAATACTTATAAAGCATCACGATTGTGTACATTTTATTTTGTATTACAGTTGGCTATCGTTGGCCGGTTATTATTTTCATTTAATTATTATTACACAAATGAGTTTTAATTTTTAGATAAAACAATTTATTTGTACTAATAATAATAATACTAGGTAGGCCCAAACATTTTACATGTAATAAAACATTTTAATGGAAATATAATGTTTTCATTACAGGTCCGGTATATACTAAAATATACGAAAATGAACAGATAATTCAAAGGGAAATAAGTGCAATCCTAGGTGAATGTTAATATATTGTGTCTAATAGAAAATAGTAGCCAAGACTTTTAATGTTTTATGTTTTTCGTTTACTTACACTCTCATTCTACGGTGTATTGAAAGTGTTATTATTCCAGTAAAATAATTTTTTTATTTTTCATACTCATCGACTTAACTAAACCTTAAAAAAACTGTTATTTTAGTAACTACAAGAAGTAAGGTTATTTTTATCTCACACATTTACTAACAACTTTATATCATTTTTTACTATATATTTAATGTTAAATACAATTATTTATCATCATACAATAATAATGTGTGTAAAATAAACTAAATGTCTATAAGCCCAATTTTGTTCTACAATGTCGTTAAAGAAATACTATTTATTGTAATCATTGAAAAGATATTTATTCATACGCCACTACTTGTTTTTATTAACAATTTAAATTCACACCCAATTATTAAATATAATTTATTTAATAACACAAATGTTTGATATTATGAAAATAATATAATGTTATGAATTTAAGCTTAAAATTAAATACTATAATATTTAATTTCTTCAAGTATTATTATCGTTATAGTTTAAAATATTCGTTATAAATTATAACAAGTTGTTATTAACAACATCATAAGAAGTCATGATAATTTATAGCTAAACAAATAATCGCATAAACACATTCTCCGGTCATGTAGTTTGTTGAATGAATTTACATTGTTTTTTTTCATACTATAGTTAAATAAGTAAAACATTAACAAAAAATATGAAAGTAAAACAATATTTTGATTAAACGCATTTTTTTCGATAGCTTAAACAATAGGAGATCTAACAGCTCTTTTAATATATGTAATATATATTTTAGGTAATCCGGTTTTTGATGGAATGGATTCAAACGGTAATGATTTAAATAATAATCAATAACATATATATTAATGATATTTATTTGTGATTTTAATTTTTTTAACGATTAAAAGTTAATTCAATCCAAAAAGCTAGACAAAATTTAACTCTACTATAGATGGTCCGGTATTAATTCTGTAAAGATATGCCAGTTCTTTGACAACTTTCCTAGGTTATGTAGGATATAACAGATTTTTTGCTTTTTTTTATGTAAAAAATAGTGATTTAAAATCAGGAAAATTGCAAATTAAATTTGTTTAAATACAAAAAATTGAAATTTGCAATTGGAAATCGGCTTCCTACATACCATACAAAGTAGCCAAAGAACTCGAATCATTCTACAGAATTGAAATGGGGGACCATTTTATGTAATCAAAATGTTGTCTGTCTTTTTCGTCTAAAATAAACAAAAATGGCTTTTGGTCATGGAAAAAAATATTTAAATAAAACTTTACACAAATTAATTGGCAAGTTTACATTTATTAAAAACCTGTTTTTTCTTGAATATTGCCTATACAGCACTTGATATTTTTAGCTAACACAATTAATTTTTAGTAATAATAAAAAGGTAGGCCGCGAAATTTTGCATGTAATAGCAAATTTTAATGGAAATATAATGATTTGATTATAGATCTGGTATTTAATACAATATTCAACAATGAAGTGAGATTGGAAAAACCCCTAGGTAACTGTTAATATATTAACAAAATTTGTTTAATAGAAAACGGCAGTCAAGACTTTCGATGTTTTATGTCTTTAGGTTACTTATAAATTATCATCCAATTCTACAGTGTATTAAATGTGTGATTCTTTCAGTAAATTTTATTTTTATTTATAATACTTTTCAAAACCCTACATAACTGTTCTTTTAGTAGCTCCAAAATAGCAAGCTAATTTTTATCTCACACGTATACTAAAAACTTTATTAATAGTTATAATTTGTAACGATAATGTATTTATTATTGTATTAAATTTTATGACAGGGTTAGACCGACCCGGATCATCATTGGGTAAGTATAACAAGATATATATTGTAATTATTGTTACTATCTGAGTATATTAGACGAGATGTTGGTTGGTTTACGTTTGATAACGGTATTAATTAAACAAATTTAATTAAAGAATATAAAGAAATATGGTCTATAGTCTATACCAATATTTCAAAGAATTGTTTTCTCCAGAACAATAAAGGTATTATATGCAAAAACAGTATAGTTAAACAGTGTTCTTGAAATATACTACAGATTATATTTATAATGGTCAATTACAAAAGCTCAAAATTCTAGTTTATATTTTATTGTGTAACGTCAATGATACAAATAAATGTACTATTATATTAATATTTAATATTATAGTCACAGGTTCCTATAACACAGCTGTGATGAAGAGAAGAAATCTTATAAACTCAGCAATCTTCTATACGCTCAATGACAGTATGAGTAAGCGTTTTTTATAATATTTATTGCTAAGTACTTTAAAATTGCAAAGTTTAGCATATAACTTAACCAATGCATAAACAATATGTGTAAGCAAAAAGAAAGGCAGAATAACTATTTTTGATTTTATTATGGCTTTTCGTCGTGATTTTGTAGTATTTAACGATTTTTTTTTATTCTATTAATTCATTATGTTGTGTGGTTCCAGAAAACGTCCAAATGTGCGTGAATGGCGAAAGCATGAAATGTGCATTGATCACGTTAATCGAGGGTACACCGTATTATCAGTTCAAACATAAATATCGATGTGCACATAAAGTTTATTGCATTATAACTTTAACTGTGGCCGAGAATAGTTGGGTAAATAACGAAAATATACAATGGACTGAAACACTGACAAAGACATTTCGAGATCAATCATTTGACGTTGTACGAAACTGTTATAAAATATTTTTCGAAAACCCAGAAACTCACATATTCACGGAGTGGACACACAGCAAAGAAAATATAGTAGAATCATTTGTTTCAGACGGAGAGTAAAAATTTCATTGCGTATTATATTAATTTTGCTTGTATTTTAGTTAAAAACGTTGTTTTATTTACTAAATGTTCATAATATCAGTAGAATTATTGTATTATCCAATAAACTATTATAATTAATATTTGTCATTGTATACATTTATTATTATACCACCCAATTGTTATTAGCCGAGGTGGTAAAAGGATGTTGAAGGTTTGTGTTTTGAAAGAATTAACCGGAATACCGGAGTGGCCGATTTTGCCAAAATGTTTTAATTGAAGTTCCTTTTAAAGACACCTTTTAAATTATTTTTTCAAAGAAAGATATTTTTTTAAATAATTATAAGTTTAATTCATAAAGTTGGCCAAAGCTGTGTAGGTGGTGTCTTGTAGTTGACTTGAAAAATTAATTTCAACACCCAAGACAATACATCTTTATAGTATACAATTTCATCATGTATGTTATTATATTAATGAATATAATGTCAGAAAACATTTTTTAAAACTGAAAATGAATGAGTCAAATAGTAACAAACGAATAACAATAATCTTATTCTATGAACATGCTAAAGCGATTCCTGCAATTGGTACTTGCAAACTTAAAATGTGTTAAACAAGCTATAGATAGGTACAATAAAAGATCCATTTAAGACCTAAACTTTTATACTTCTTGCCTAATAGAGTGCCTTTAAGTAATGATTTTTTATATATAGACTTGCAATTAAAAATAATCAGTTTAGCTGATTATGAGATATTGTAGGTCAAAACACATGAAAAAGAATGCTGTCCAAAGAATTGTGAGTACAAATTTCAAGTCAAGTTAAATTTCCAACACAAATATATGTAGGTATATAAATCTGTACAACTAGTTTCATCACAATGATTCGTTACCGATACATAGACATTTTCAAAATAGATGGTAATTTTGTTTATATAATGTCACCTGGGTGATACTATAAATTGTGATTTACTTTACATTTTAATAACACATAATTGTTTCTACATAGCTATTTAGTTTTTGTGAAAAAACAATAACTACCTCATTTTTAGGATGGGAGATCTAAAATATAATTTTCTTACACTCTAAGGTTCGCCATAAACAATTTACTTTCTACATATTCTATAATAATTAATTTACTTTCTATAATATCATGTTAACCAATTCCTGAGTTGAGTTCTGATTTGACCAGGAGGTTTAAACACAGATCAGAAAATAAAAAAATAATAATGTTCACGTCGATTAAATAATATTATAATTATTTATTTTACTTTTGGAAAAAATTATGTAACATACATCAATCATGTTTAGGTAATATTTTTTAAAGAAAAAAAATGTGACAAACTACTCAGAGTGTTTATTTCATTCAAATATTTCCCATTCCTTACTCGTTCTTACAGAAGTTTCTTTGGGGCTTTTTGCTGCACTGTAAATCAATAAATAATTTCTTATAAAAAAAAAAATAAAAAGATGCTACTTGTTTTCAAAGTTGTCAAATCATAAAAAATTATATTGTGTTAAAAAAAAGACGTGCATAATATTTTTAGTTTTACACGTTAAATCTAGTTTGCTAGACCATTGAACCAAAACTAAGCCTTAAAAATTAATAATTATTTTTAAAAAATCATTATTCGGAGAAAATTGGTAGTGCTGTATTAAATGGATAACAAAACAATAATAAAAAAATAATAATAATAATAATAATTGCATAGGATGCTGTATTTTTAAAAGTATAAATTATTATCAAGTCCATTTCGATATATTTGATTGGGCACCTATGCTAAATATTTCTAAAATTCCTAAAACCTAATTATTGTTAATAAAATCATATAATTATTTAATATTATTACTTACGCATGACGTCCTTCAGCAAAAGCTGTAAACAAAAATGTATCAGTATATATTTTTTAACATTATTACACAATATGTGATTTATTTTGGTTTAAATTACTTTACTAAAGGACCTACCTTGTTTCGATTTACCTTCAACAAACTGCTTAACATTGTCCAAGTTATCAGAAGCTCTATAAATCATTAATTTATTTATTGTTAATAATATAGGGTGAAATAATACAAAAAAATAAAAATAACAATCGTTAATAGCATTTTGTATTTTTATAAGTAGATATTGTGATCATATCCATTTAGTGATATTTAATTGCTGAAACTTGGCGTATACAATCATCTTGGATGATAATACAATATCCTGTAATCATATTGGGTCATTTCACTAAAATTTCATTTTTTTCTAAATCTTCCAAAATGAATTTAGTAATCTATTCACCAATTATTAAGTACCTTTAATAGGACTAAAAAGTAAAAAATAAAACAAATAAACAAAAAAAAACTTTTTTAAAAACATGCTTTTCTAAAAAAAAATAGTAAAGAGGGAACTAAAAAGTAAAAAATAATTTTATTACAAGAACAATATTTACCAATCACTTCTAGGATATTTTATTTAAAATGTCAATTTCTTCGAAAACAACCGAAAATTAACTACAATTTTAAATAATGTTAAACATCTTTAATTTTTGCCTAAAAAGAAAAGCGTGGGCCCTATTCAACAATGTCCAAGTTCATTGCGTTAAGTATTATGAAATGTATGTGTCACACACAAATATTAAACTAAATTTAAATTACAAAAGAACTTACAATATAAAACATTATCTGATAATAATACATTTATTAGGGACATTGGTGAATAGGGCCCAGGCTTTTGTTTTAGTTAAAAATTAAAGACGTTTAACATTATTTAAAATTGTAGTTAATTTTTGGTTATTTTCAAAGTAATTGAGATTTTAAATAAAATATGCTACAATTGATTGGTAAATTATTCTTGTAATAAAATTATTTTTTACTTTTTGGTTTGCTTTTTACTATTTTTTTTTTTAGAAAAGCATGTTTTTAAAAAAGTTTTTTTTTATTTATTTATTTTTTAAAAGTAAATATTGTTATCAAGTCCATTTAGTGATATTTAAATGACCATTTATGTTATATAATATTTATGTAATACTAGAATTTTAAAACTCTATTATTATTCATAAAACTAAAAATAAAATAATTTCATTAATTCAAGTTAAGTTACTTTTTTGTATGGAAGTCATCGTCACTTAAAACCCTATAAATCAATAAATAATTAATTATTAAAAACCATAAAAACATGCTACTTGATGTAAAAATTGGCAATCAAAGAAATTGTATTGCGTTTAAAAAAAATGTGCATAATATATTTAGTTTTATAGACTAAATATAGTTTGCATAACCATTGAATCAAAACTAAGCCTTAAACATGAATTCCAAAAATCAGTTTTTGGGGAAAATTGGCAGTGCTGTATCAATTGATAATGGCAAAACAATTCCATAAAATAATAATAATAATAAACGTATAACGTGCTATATTTGTAAAAGTATATAATATTGTTATCAATTCCAATTAGTTATATTTGATTGGGCACCTATGCTACATAGTACTAAAAATCCTAAAACCTAATTATTGTGCATAAAATCAAAAATAAAATAATTTAATTGTTTAATATTATTACTTACAAGAGACGGTTTTTAGCATAATCTGTAAACAGAAATGTATCAGTATATATTTTATAACATTATTATACAATATCTGATTTATTCCGGTTTAAATTACTATACTAAAGGACTTACCTAGTGTCGATTCCTCCAATAATTTATCTTTAATAAGTTGCCTAACGTTTTCCAAGTAATCAGAATCACTATAAATAATTAATTATTGCAATATTATTAATATATGGCAAAATAATACAAAAAAACAATCGTTAATAGCTTTTTGTATTTTTATAAGTAGATATTGTGATCAAGTCCATTTAGTAAAATTTAATTGTCCATCTATGTTATACAATACCAGTATTCCAAAACTTTATTATTTTTCATAAAATTAAAAATTAAATAATTTCATTATTTTACATTAAATTACTTACTCTAAACTCAGATATTCAACGATCTCTGTTAAGAAAACATGTATCAGTGTATTTTTAATACTATAATAGAATATGTAATTTATTCTGTTTTATAAATATATAAAAAAGAATAAATAATGTTTTAGATGTATAACAGATTTTATAATAAAGACAAATATAAATTACCTTTCTTTACCGGCATTTGAGTGTCTATAATGGTACAAAAAGTATATTATTATTTAATATTTTGTCTAAGTAGTGTATATTATCATAGAGCTTACTCTCAGTAATCATAATATATTGTTTGGAGTTTGCTGAAATAAAAAAAAAACACAAGTTTGAGAAATTGTTTTATTAATATAATAGTAAATAGTTGTACAATATTATATTATAACAACTCATAGTTAAATATAAAATATTGTTTATATAAACAGATCAAACCAATAGACTGGGGTAAGAGGAATTTTCTTATAATAGTTTTTATGTGTAGCTGAGAAAGTAGTAATTTTACAATGATGGTTTTTAGCTTCGGTGCAAAGCGAAGGTACTGGGTTTACCATGATGTGGGCTTTTTTTGTCTGTATACACTGTAACTTTATTAACACTGGACCAATTCCTTCGAGAAGCAACTTTATAAATCACAAATTTCATCTTGTTGGTACTTGGGGAGAGAGGGGTAAAAGTTGAAAAGTTTACTTTTTCATAGTTAAAAATTGAAAAAACAAAAAAAACATACGAGTTTTAAGTTGGAACTTTTACTGGCTATGATTTCGAGAAAAAGAGTCGGATCGAGTTGAAATTTATAAAGAATATTTATTTGTTATACCCGCACACGTCATCAGTCGTATCAAATTCAAATTATACACATTTCCCGCACCCCTAGGGGGAAAAGGTTCTTTGTTTTTTTAGCCGTAATTTAAGGACCATTAAATTGAAAATGTGTCAATAGTTTGAACTCATATGTATTTATAATTAAATCGTGTATCTTCTGTAATCGTCGTTTATCTTTGGAAAACGCCGATAAAATCACTTTCGAATAAACGCTTCGATGCGAATCAGTAGTTAGTATTTTCAAGCCAGTACAGTCCAAACCAAGCACAGTGTAAACCAGAAAAGTTAGAAAGTATTAAATTATTGAGGTGCTGTAAATAAGCACCAATGCTTTTGTTTAAAAGTGATTTTATTCAATTTTATCACTGTTATTCATAATAATTCCTCTCCGTCGCCTCAATGCTTTGATTTCATTATGCCTATACTCTACTGTGCTAGTGCTCTCTGATAAAATGATTTTCAAATTAACGCTTTGGTGCTTATTTGTAAATACAGCAACTCAATTGAATCGGTCATTTCAAAAACGACACTGTGGCTAGTGAAAACTTCATAACATCATAACTAGTTTTTGCAGTGATTTTAATATTTTTTACTCAACATTTGTATTAAATATGAGTTTGACAAATTTAGTTTTCACACAGAATACGTAGCTAAGCATATAATTATCAAATTTGACAAAAAGTAATTTTTGAAAAATCGGTGACTTATGTCGTTTTTGAAATGACCGATTCAATTTAATATTTTCTAACTTTGCTGGCTTACGCCTTACACTGTGCTTGGTTTGGACTGTACTGGCTTAAACATACTAACTACCGATTTGCATCGAAGTGTTTTTCGAAAGTTATTTTATCACTTTCAGATTTAAAAATTCCTGTAAACCTGTGACCTCCCAGTCACCACTATGCCCCAACCCCACTTAACTGGTTTTTGAAGAAGTGTTAAGACTAATGTTTATCTTCTAAACCGCAAAACCGATTTTTTCATATAGCAACCCTATAGATCATAATACCTTTTCCTTAGAAGGGTTATGATAACGTTTTCATAATTTTTATTTTTTTAGCTCTAATTTTTAGTACTTGATGTCTGAACATTAGACCGAAGGTATATCTAGACTCTAGAGTGGCACTTACATGAATTTCTTACAAATATTTTTTCAAACTTTAATTTCATAGAGCACCCCCCCCCCCCTTCTAATCTAGGTGGCTAAGTGTGCATGGCTCAACAGTCGACAGGTATTTTAAAATCATTTTACTATATTGTTAATTATTATTAACCTACGATGTTCACATATGGATAACAAAGGCATAAATTTATTACGATCAAGCCTAATAGACGATTAATGTACAATTTATGCGCAATATTAATATTATATTGATTTCTGTATTTCTATCCACAGACACGGTTGGAAGCGTTTAATCAAAATTGGTTTGTACCATATTTATATTTGTAAAAGCTAATTTTGTGTTGTATCGGTCCGCCGGTATTTGAATTTACTTAATTATACTTACCATCGCCTTTTATGGTAACTACGTCGCCATTTCCTAGATTTGTCGGCACAGTTTTCACAAACGGACATACCACTAAAAGATCAATGATATAATATTGTATTAAAACGAAATATGTAATGACTATAAAATAAGTATACCACTCTGAATCGTTAAGACGTCTCCCATAAGGAAATATTGAATAATGTAAAACTAACAATATTTGTAATTTAAAAAAAAGATTATAGTATATGTTTTTTGTATTCTTATTAAGATGTTCGATAACATACAAGAAATGGATAAAACCATTATTTTTAAATCTGTAGTGGTTTTTAGAAAAAAATGTCCATATAACACATGTACACGAGTCCCGACATTAATATGCCTATTATGTCCCCCAGAGCGCAGTGTGTACACTATACAGTATATTTGGTATAGTCATGGTATCCAACGTGTAATGTATCCTGAACATTTTTATATATGCTTAATACTTATCAAAATTTTAACCCAACCCGTTAGCAATATAAAAATTCCAAAAAAAAGAACACGAGAATTACATTTTTAATTAAGTAAAAAGTTATTGAATACTTGATCAACAATAAAAAAAAACAGGATTTTAAAAATTTTTCTGGCGTTTAGTTTTGTTTAAAATTGAAACATTTGTATGTATGCAAGAATAATGATGCTGGAATAAAAAATAATTTTGAAAATATATTGATTAACACCAAATATAATTTTTTTTATTGAATAGAACACTTATACAAGATTAGAATAATTAACATAGTACTTACCATCCTGTGCATAATATGAAATCAGGATAGAAAAGGTTATAAAGAAAATGCTCGTTTTCATCATGAAGTTTGTGTATTTAACACGAACACCAAAAAGTTCAATAATTTTGGACAAAACGAACAAGTATACTGAATGTAGATTAGTGTAAGACTATTGTGTTGTGATATTTTTTTCATTTCATACAGTCGAGTAGCAAATTGTTTGCTTATTTACAATTGCAAAAACACATACGGTTGCGTTATAAGGTAAATACATACTTATGCTACGCATCTTTAATATCTATAGTAAAAAAACCAGTACAGTGGGGTCGGTGCATAGTGGGGACGGAACATAGTTGGGTCGGGGCATATTGGGGATGGGGAGGTCACAGATTTACAGGAATTTTTAAATCTAAAAGTGATAAAATCACTTTCGAAAAAACGCTTCGATGCAAATCGGTAGTTAGTATTTTCAAGCCAGTACAGTCCAAACCAAGCACAGTATAAACCAGCAAAGTTAGAAAGTTTTAAATGAAGGTTTTGTACTTAAAAATGAGCATCAAAGCGTTAATTTGAAAGTGATTTTATCCGAGAGGACTAGTACAGTAGAGTATTGGCATAATGTAATCAAAGCAATGAGGAAACGGAGAGGTCACAGGTCTACAAGAATTATTATAAATAAAAGTGATAAAATTGAATAAAATCGCTTTCAAATAAACGCTTTGATGCTCATTTGTAAATACAGAACCTTCATTTAAAACTTTCTAACTTTGCTGGTTTATACTGTGCTTGGTTTGGACTGTACTGGCTTGAAAATACTAACTACCGATTTGCATCGAAGCGTTTTTTTGAAAGTGATTTTATCACTTTCAGATTTAAAAATTCCTGTAAACCTGTGACCTCCCCATCCCCAATATGCCCCGACCCAACTATGTTCAGTCCCCACTATGCACCGACCCCACTGTACTGGTTTTTTTTTTTTTGCAAAAACTTAGTGGACCAAATAACACATATACAATGTCTTGTTATATTTTGTTGGAATGGTCGACGATTCATGTTCCAATCGTTTGTACTCCATAGTTTAAATTATAATCGCTTATTCTCAATAAAATTAATATTTATGTATTATATACTTCCATTAAATCAATCTCACACAAACTATTTATACTTCATAGATTATATTATTTCAAAGCTATATTATACTTCTATTTTACTAGATTGACAATGTACAAAATAAAATGCAACTAAAAAAACCTTTTCATAGATCCTTAAAATGTAAAGGGTGGGATAGTGAAACGGGTTTTACCATTTAAATACATTAGAAAATCGCCGTTTTACTGCCTCATCCTGTATATTAATTTCTTGTTATTTTCTAAAGAAAAATCGATTTTCTTACATTTAAATTAAAATAAATCGTATACTGGTACTGTGATGGAGAAAACAATAAATTTTCCCTACATATATTACTTATTAGTTAAATATTACTAACGTGTATAGCCACTAGCGGTCGGCTGTTGCCTGTTATTTAACAATAACCTTTTATGGAGATTT